AATCGGAAATGTAGCAAAAATTAATTGTATCAAGTTAAATCTAATCTAAATATGAACGTAGAAAACTCAGTTTATGTTCAATGATTTTCAATGAAACAATTTACTTTTGGAGACTTCTAACTGTCCAGTACTCAATGTATTTCAGAGTTTATCTTAAGTGTTATAGTCTGCTATCAAAATTAAGAATGTACAAATTAAATAATTTCGTTGATTGGTTGAAGTTACACTGTTGGGATGACGGTTCAATGGTCTAGAGGTCAACTGTTCGTATGCTACATTGATAGATATTGGGTTCGAATCTGTCGAGGCGGGATCGTAGATGAACACCGTTGACGTGTCCCATACTAGGACGAAACAGCCATTTAGTGCCTCCAGGTTTTCCAACTTCAATTGATTCATGAATTCAATATTTTTTTCTAAAATATCAAATTCACAATGAAATTTTGCACCATAAGTAAACTATGAAATGAATATTGTAGGTCAAAAAAATTCTATATTTTGATGTCTGATTATATATCGAATGAATAAAAAGGTCAAATTGACTATCGGCATTCGACTCCAGATAATAATGTCAAGGTCAAATGAGACTTACACTAAACTGGAGAGTAAAAACCTTATTGATTATCCAATGAAATCATCAATTGAAAACAATAATGTCCCGTTATATTCATTGTTCTAATAGCTCTTTTAATAGGATGAGAAGGGATGGTTGTATCCTCTCTCTCTCTCTCCGGCTTTTGTACAGTTTTCAAGATATTACTAAATTTCTCAAATATACCCTGTAGTAATAGTCGATGCAAATACTGTTTAAGGGATTGAAAATAGTCCTAGTATCAAAAATACGACTGATCGTCTCTAATCAGTGTGTAAGTGTTCTAACATTTGGTGGATGGTGAGGATATGATCAAAACATTCATGATCTGAACAAAAACCAGACTACTTCTTCCAAGTCAATCTTTCATGGGTTGTGTACTATGTGTAAAGTAAGATGAAAGCCGATGATTTGGACGTGATGAAAAGTAGACTTATCTCTACAGTTGATACATAGACGGCAATTGATTCATTCCAAGAAATTGGGACGTTTTCCTCCAGTTCGCAAAACAGAAGCTGGCTACCAAACCGAAAAAACAAAGAGGATAGGTCGTTGAGCCTGGTAATCTGTAGTACTTTAGAAATTGGAGTTTTTCGCACCCAAGGGATACACGACAGTTATATTTATATCGATGGGGTAATACATCACATTGTGACGGCTCTTTACTCGAACACCACCAGTCAAGTCAGAGCTTATGGCAAACTGTCATGTGCTTTTGCAACCTCAAGTGCTGTCCACTTTCTCCATTTTTGTTTAAATTCAGCATAAACCTACTGATGGAAATAACGCTCTCGTCGACTGAATTTTCAGGAATTGACTTCATTCTAGGAGGTCCACTTATCGACTTAGAATATGCAGATCATATAATCCTGTTTAGTGAAGACGCTGATAAAATGCAGTCTTTTGGAAGCACTGAGCAAGAACGCCAGAGTGTTTGGGATGTGCTTCTCCCCTAACAAATGTAAGTTGTTGCTTCAGGACTGGTCTACATCAACACCTGAACTAAGGACAGCGAGTGAGGTAGTCGAACGTGTTGAAAACTTAACTTAGCTTGGAAGCCTGAGCAACCATAATGGGTTTGCGTATGACGAAGTCTCAGCTCGGATTTGAAAACCTCGTTCGGCTTTTGCCAACTTACGTCACCTATGGCGAAGGTGAGATATATCCGTCTATAAATTAAAGGAAGAGTACACTGCGCGGCAGACAGTTCGTTCTGCTCTATTTTACGGCTGTGAAACGCAGCCATTAAGAGTAGTAGATACTCGTAAGCTACTAGTATTTAACCACAGATGCCTTAAAAATATTGCTCACATCTTCTACGATCACCGGGTAAGTAATAGTGTGGTTAGATGCAGGGCATTAGGGAATGATGATGGTAAACCAGTTGATGACGTTATGAATCTTCATCGACTGAGATTGTTGGGTCACGTGTTACGTATGCCTGAACACCGATTACCACGAAGTGCAATGCTAACGGGTGTTGGGGATGGTTGGAAGAAAGTTAGAGGCGGTCAAACCAAAACGTGGCATCAGTGCTTGAAGTCACTAACTTCTAGTCTGAGCCATGTTGGTAGATGCAGACTACTTGGTTGGGGTCCGCATGACTATCGTAACCAATGGTTGGAGACTCTGTGTGACATGGTTGAGAATCGATCACAATGGCGTCGGTGTAAACACTCCCTGTCTTCCCTTAAACTAAGAGTTTAAAATCGCTTCATATCTTTCTTTCTATGAACTAATTCTTTCTTTCTGTACTATATCCTTATTGCAATCTTTCTTTTATATATTACCACCATTGAATTAACTGATTCTATGAATCCGGTGTTCATCTTGTTGTGCTAATGCGGTATGGTAACTTCGACCGATGCACATATGTGCCTGGTCCTACGTTGTAGCTGACTGCTTGCTCGAAAAACACGACTCATCGACCGAGACTCCTTTCAATATTATATCACTAATTCGAGTGTTATTAGCTACAGATCATTTCACCCATATCAAACTTTTCGTTGCTAGTAATTCGGAAGAATTGAAACAACTTCCCATAGTTACTAAACTGAACTGTAGAATCTGACTCTTAAATACGCACCAATTCACAAGGTAATTTCAACAAGTTACTTAATCTAAAAATTGAATCATACCAATG